GCTATTGGTATTGGCCTTCGTGTCTTATCCTCTTCCTCTCGGCGTGTGTTCTTTGCGGTTACTACCGGTGCACAGAAGAGTTCCAGGTTTGGGTAGATAGTGGGTATCTGCATCTCAATTTTGCTGGAAAGGATAAGGATTTCCTTGCGCGTCGACGCTTTTTATAGCCGACTCGTGGATAATTTGCCGCCGAAATCTGCGTTATCTTTCTGCTGACAATCGATTTCACGTATTTGCTGATAATTCTTACGCATATCTCATCTAGCTTCCTGCGCGTAATTTACGATGCGGAGTATATCCTTCACGCCGATTTTTTGAATTTTCCATTTGGTAGATTTTATTGTATTTTTATTAATTAATTTAAGAAAAGTAAAACAAATAAATGGATATGAATAGGAACAAAAGGTATATATAGTAAATTTCTAGGTGATAAAGTATGCCCCCTTACACTTTTTATATTTTTTTTGTTATTGTTGTTGTTGTTCCTGATGTTAGTATTCGTTTCTATGACAATCTACACTGTTTTTTAAAGATACAATTTCGGAACGTACGATGAGCAATGAACGTATTACTACACAGAAAAAATAAATTAATTTTTGCAATACGTGCGAAACAGCTTATTTGAATGTCATATGACTCTTTATGATACGTTAGTTTTATTAAACTATACTCAAACTTAACTTTCTCTTTTCTCAGGAGTATAACTTACGTGGTAATAGTGTCTTGGCCATACAATGATAAATAACAAAGCCTTAATTCAGTAGAAAAAGGATAGTCACGTGCCAACGACAACATGTATTCCACAAGAAGGTAAAGTGACGAATACATTGTATTATTATTTTTACATGTAAATACTTTATCGATATATAGATACTCGAATAGAGCAGATCAGGAGTCCAGTAGTATGTCAGTAAGCGTCTTATGATGAACAATAATTAAATAACGCAATGTATTCCCATGGGCGCAAAATACGACCTAACGCCCCTGGAAAAGGGAGCATCTCTCATATCTTAGGTACAAACATAAAATAATCCTATTAAAAATATTTTTCTTTTATTTTTGTCCTTGATACGAAAAATGCCATATTAGCAGTCAATTTTAGAGTAAATCACTATTGGTGACTCATCAGAGTTAACGCTGGAGCAATCTTGATTTATGAGTTTTAAAACACGGAGGCTTAAATTCATACTTTAGTCACTTTTTCTAGTGTTTTACAGTATATTTTTAATTTTGTATCCAATATTTTTAATTGGAACACGTACAAGTAAACAGAAAAAAAACCATTTTTTTGATACTTAAAAATTTGAGAAACTGATGCTACATTAAACAGTAGCAAATTAATAATTGAAGAATGTAACTTTTTTGTATTACTTATATCCTACTAAAAAACGCTTTTAAATGTCGATGCACATAGTTGATTTAAATTTTTAAACGTTTACCCAAGAGCAGGATATTTTTATTTGAAATCATCGTTTTTCTTTTATATTAATAAAGCTCTAACAAACTATTTTATTACGTCATTGAATTTCTGAGTAATTAATTTTTTCTTTTAGTTATTTGCAGTGTTTTTTGAACTCCTAAACTTATGTTTTGAATTGAAACAATGTTATGTACAAAATTTTTTTATGATTCCGTACACTAGAGTAGCAATGTACATACCAATATGTCAATATCATTATATTTATAAACGTTATTGTAAACTTTTTATCATTCTGTTAGATTTCTGAGTATTTATTTTGACTTCTACTTTCTTATTATTTTCTGTGATCTGAACATTATGATTTTTGGTTTCTAATTTTTTTTATTCTTATAAGTTTTTGCATATAATATGTATAGTAATACTCTAGAAATGCTAATGATTCTAAGTATGTTGGGCCATATTTAATTGCATTTTTTTCCAAGCCTTAGTCATGAAATTTTCATTTTTTAGTAGTAGTGCATGAAGTGTTTGTTATTGTTATGTTCTTTTATACTTTAAAGTGTAAATAAATATTATCAACTTCTTGTTTTTTGTTCGGGTATTTCTTCATTTTTATTGATTTTTATTCTAGTGTCTATGTTTCTCATTCCGTATCTATTATTGTAGCTATTTGTATTACTTCGGAAATTTTATTAAATATTTTTATCTTTAAGCTCTTTTTTTGACTCTCATAATTTTGATTTTTTAATTCATATTATATTTTGTTTTTTGGCTTATTTGTTGAAACATTTTGTTTATATAATATTCGTAATAATAGCCGTATTTATAATAATCTTTTTCTTATATTTTTTACAATTTTTTTGTACATCTGTATTTGTATTCAATACTCTTCATGTCTTTTTCTTTAATTATTTCTATATTCAAGCTTTTCAAACAAAATTTTTGAAGTTAAGTTTCTTATGTAGGGCCCTTGCTAGACAAAAGTAGGAGGAAATGTCACACTTTTTCTTGCCCCCTTCGTTCTTGTCTGTCCCTTCACTACTGTATGTTCTCTCGACAGCGAGTAGTGTAGTATAGTGTACAATACATGCATGCAGTGGCGCGTGCTCGATCTCTCTCTTGCTCTCTCTCTTTCTTTCTCTCTCTCTTTCTGTCAAGTATACAAATATAAAAGGGTAGTTGATACCCTATCAGAAAAAAAATATGGCATCCGTATAGGAATATATGGCCCTCTATTGGTTGTCATAAGCATGTATATACAGACCATAGTGTTTGTGTTACCAGGCGCGTGTATGGGCTGTACATAAAATCCGTAAGCTATGGTAGCCGTCGACTGCCTGTGCACGGCCTGTAAGGATAAAAATGTATAGTGTAGGTCATATTTTTTCCAACTCCAAAAAAAAATAATACGTTGTTATTGTTACTTATGTACTTGTAAACTTAATTTATTTGTAATAATTAATATAAATAAAAATTATGGATAGCGGGACCTATGAAAGAAGCGAAGCTTCAGTGAGTTTTTAAAAGTGAGGAAGCTGTAGCGTGGAACTGGTCGAGACAGTTATGTATGCGAGAGCGAGAAAGGCTGCGAAAAATTCCAGATGATTCTCAAGTAATATCTGAAGTACGTGGCTTTGGTGCTTTACGCAAAGAAATGTCACTGTTGGTGGTACCGAGCAGCAGTGTCTTTGCGTGTTCGTAGGAACTTTTTTTTGAACGTTGTTGAATACTTTCGCAAGCTGTTTCGTGTTATAAACAAAATAAATACAGCATTATTTTAACTGTTTTCAATATTTTATTTTCATATCTATGAACATTTATCGAGCGAATTTTTGCCATCTCATTTTAAATACTTAAATATTTATTTAATTGGCTCAGAGTAAGTTAAGATGGAGTCTAATAGTCTGCCAGACTGGCTTGAAGCTTATACAGCCTTCGATGGTCAGTAAGTTGGGTCACACACAGATGTAGATTTTTGAGCCCATTCAGTGACGTCACTCAATTTATAATAAATTTTTTTTATGTTTTATGTGAATCACGTATTATCATCTACTAACGATTAAGAAACAAAGATAATGATTATCCTTAGAAAAAAATTTTGGTACATCGTATGAGATTTTAATCCAGGACTTCCGCATGTTAAACAGATGCCTAGTATAAGAAAATATTAAAAACAGTTAAAATAATCCTGTCTTTTATTTATTATAACACGAAACAGCTTGCGAAAATATTGAAAAACGTTTAAAATAAATTCCTAAGAACACGCAAAGACACTGCTCAGTGCCACCAACAGTGACATTTCCTTGTGTGAAGGACCAAAACTACATACTTGAGATATTACTCGAGAATCATCTGAAATGTTTCCAAACCTTTCTCGCTCTTGAATGCATAACTGTCTCGACCAGCGTTATGCTACATCTTCCTCACTTTTATAAGCTCATTGAAGCTTCGCTTTTTTCATGGGTCTCACGACCCATAGTTTTTTTTTTTTTTCATCGTAGGTTACTTGTTTTCAGGTCGTAAACTTTTTGACACTGTTTATTTTCTAAAATTGTATAAGAAAGTTGGCTGTAAAAGAATGTTCTCTTAGTAATCCTACAACTTAATTGAAATCAATTGAACTTATGATACAAATAAAATTTAATGTTTAAGTACAAGCTTAATAATCTAACAAAATTACATGAATAATATTTGAAAATTCTTTTGTAAAAGATATTTATTCATTTACTTATGAATCCAACGGGCCAAATGACCCAATTACATGAGACAATTTAAAGAAGATTTTTTTTAATTCATTGAGTTGTTTAAGGACTGACATTTTTTTCATACGACGATAGAGAAAAAAGATTTGTATTCTTACCATGCAAACCTACTAATAGCCAAGTAAAAGATGTTACGGTCACATAGAGTATGTGAAAGTTGTTTACTATAGTAATAAACTTTAATAAAAAGTGCTCCCCGTACTTTTTTTTCGAAGCCACCCATTGCTAGTCAATCTGATACTTTTCGCTTCAACAGGCTTACTAGACACGTGTAGGCCCTAATATCTCAATTCCTTTTTACCTTGAAAACCGTTGAGTTTGCTTTATTTGGAGTTGCATATGTATCTGTAAATACAGTGCAATTGGCATTTTCTAAAAAAAATCATATCGTGTTGAGAAAAAAAGGTTTCCATTATTTTTTGACACCATACTAAGTGGTTTCTAATTAAGTGGTTTCTGACTTGTTCCATGTATTAGCCTATTTGATTAACAATCATGACCAGATTTTTTTCTTCTGTGGGGTAAAGAAGATCTTGGAACTACTCTGGGGACAAATTCTAGAAAAAAGCCAATCCTTAAATAGTTAGCTTTCGTATGGAATTCGTCCTAAAATCATTTTTGGAACTAACTTACTTTTCTATTTTCACTGATAGTCGAATTTTTAAACATCCATAAAGTCTTCTTCTAGCGTCTGGCACTGGCTACTAAACCATGGTACAATCATGGAAGTAGAAATAATTTTATTACTAGACTAATTTTAGGTTAGGATTTGTGTGTTATAAAATAAACTTATAAAATAACGAAAATGTTTTTTTTAGCCCAAGCTGACAATGGCAAGATGTAGAAGAAACGTGGACAATTTTCTGGAAGCTTGCAGAAAAATTGGAGTAGATGAGGTAATAATAAATGAACGTACACAGTTATTTATTGAGCTTTATCTTTGTTGTCACGTACATATCCACATAACAAGTAAGAAAAAATTTACGTACATACATACAACGTATGTTTACTCTGTATCTTATTACATGAAAAATCAATAGCTTAAAGTTAATTATTTAAAAAATAACTGACAAAAACAATCTATATCAGCACCTTCTTCCATATATTTTGCTAATCTGTAATCTGTATTCAAAATTTCTTAGCGTTTGTAAAATTTATTTGAATTTCTAAGTTAGTAAAATACAGGAATGGATGGACGATCATTGAAGAGCCAAATAATAGACGCAGATGTAGATTTATTAAAATGACGAATTTTGGATACTGCCAACAGCCTTATCAGGCCAAATTTATTGGCTAAACAACACACCACCATCCGTACACTAAAATAAAACTTAAAAAGTGTACAGTAAAACTATTATGAATAAAAATAGATAATTACTAGAAAGCTGACGCAATAAAAAATTTTGAGTGGAAAATTACTCATGTTGACTAAACCACCGGTAAAATATACTATCAAATTGTATCTTTGTTCAAATTTTCGTATCTTAAGTATATAAAAATTTAGAGGAACATTTATGGCCATCAAATAAACATAATCAACTTGACAACACGTAGTGTTGCTGAAATAGATGCTTACTCAGAGATAAATTTGAAATATGTATGAAAATTAACTATCTCGAATACAATCAATATACTTTCTTAACTCTGTACTCCGTACATCTTTGTATCCAAAGATTTTGGTGTGGTATCGAGGTTAAGGTTACTCATAATCAAATTTACTATCAGTAACAAATTAAATAATTGTTACAAGACAGTTAATACCTTTTTCTTTAGGTACTAAAAAAAAATTATAGATCTGTTTGAAAAATAAACAAGCTTATCTAAAAGTAATCTTTCATACAAACGAACATTGGGGGGATGATACAAGTCTTATAAATACAATTTTAAGTGATTTTTCCACAAGGTTACACGTTAAACTGTAAATTTTTAAAATTATAGGTATGAAAGAGGGTACAGTTTAACAATCTGCAATGTATTTGAGGAATTGCTAAAGGTATTTTTAGAATACCTTTGAAACAGGTGTGAGTCTCAAGACCCACGACAGATGTGAAACATCAAAGAATATGTTATTGAACTCGGTAGTATTTGATTGTCTACGAACAAAATAGTAGTTTTCGTCAAATAAATGCCTTTGTCACCAGGGCTGTTTAGTGGCTCGAGGGACCTGTAAAATAAGGCCCGAGGGACGTAAGGCAGCTACAGAGCAATGTCACTTATGTGGCGAATCCTATTTGTTATACCAAGAGCAAACCAACGTCTCAATAACGCGTGAGGTAGAAAAAGTATTTAATTTTTGACTCTTAATAATCTTCATTTCATATTTCTGTACAATGTTTATTTATGTATATGTATTTTTATCAGTGAATATCATAGATTAGGAAAAAGCAAATTATGTACACGCTAGTATTTTTATTTTTTCTGTACATCAAACCGTCAAAAGATATAAGCAAAACAAACTTTAAAACACAATTTTACACAATTTTGACATTATTAGACCTCTCAAAAATAATCATAACTCTTTCTTTTCAAATCAGTGGGCTTAATTATATATAATTATATAATTTAAAAAACACTAAATTACATTTCAATTTTTTAATTCAGAAGTTTCTAGGTTGGTATCCATAAATAATAAGAATACAGATTGGATTGGCTCGCTACATAGCATAATTGATTAGTATATATTATACATGCGTACGTATGTATATGCTATTTGTATAATACATGTATGATATTTAATTATTATATACTCTTTGATATAGCTACATATGTATACGAGAGTACACTTTACAAACGAGAGAGGAGCGGCAGTATAAGCGTGCGGAGAAAGACAGAGAGCCGAGCCGAGCCGAGCCGAGCCGAGCCGAGCCGAGTTAAACCGAAGATCGTGCCATCGTATGGTCGCTTCATCACGTTGGTCGAACCCCCAAGTGCACCAATACTTTAATGTTTCACAAATGTTTCACATAAGAAAATCGGAAAAATATTCCGAGGTCCCAAAAATTCTTTTGGGTCCTTGGAACCCATAAAACCTTGTTTTTGCGTTTAATTTTTATCTTGGCTTCTACTAAGTAAAAAAATCTTTAAAAATTCAAGGCTATAGAAAATATTATTACTCCTATGTCAAATTTTTTTAAACGTCATTTAAGGGTCATCATAACCTTCAAAAAACTTATTTGACTTTAAAACTTGATTTTGTGCATGTGTCCTTTTTGGAACGGTCAACATCATTTTACTATCTTGAAGAGCGAAAAGAAAACAATCTTGTGTATTTTACAGTTTTTTTTTATTGGTGTGCTATGTCGAAGAATGCAAGAAATCTTTAAACCGGCCATTTTTTGAATGCAAATTTTTTTTTAATTTTCTTGAACTTTTTATTTGCTATATTAATTATATTTTTCTTACAGTTAAAATGTACATTTCATGGACTTTCACAATACCATTGAGGTCCTACGAACAACGCGTTAGATATTTTTCACAAAGAATCTCCGCTAATAGCTATGTAAACAGTGTTCAAACTTGAATCGTCTTTGTCATTCATTGGGTTTACATTTGGAACGTCACTATTTTCAAGTTTTTCTATTTTGAAAACAGATATTTGCAAAGCATTGTAAAAGGCTAGTTTATTTTCTACTTAGATAGACTTTCACTATAGGTACTTTCTACTTACTTTGCTTTTGTTAGAGCTGCAATAAATAAGTGCAGGTTTTCAACAGCAGGCTTACGTAATTTGTAACAAAATTCGTATAAGTAATTTATAAGTTAATAACATTCGTACTTGTTTTATTTTACATATTTTCAATCTTCTTTACTATCTTGATCGATTACAGGACATACATTGTCCAAGTCAAAAAATTTTGTAAGCATATTTGCAGGTCGAATTACATCAGATAAATATCTACCGTGAGATAAATGATACAATAGCGCTGCAACCTGCGAACAACTGCCAATTGTCCGTAGACCATTAGCACAGTTACAACAATACTCTTTAATAGCTTTTATCCCTTCATTCTTAGTAACATAGTGAATGTAACATTTGTATATTTTGCTGTTAATGTGCCTTGATCTTACTTAAAATCTCACATTTTCTGGATCTTTTTTTAAGAAAATAACTAAAGATTATTTTATAAGTATGATATAGACTTTTCACTTGGTAAGAGACAGTAAAAAAACTTTCAGTTCCTGTTAGTTCTGGAAAATCTAGTAAATCAGTTGATGATACTTTTTTGAACGGTACTAGTTTCTGGTTATAATTTTTATCCAAGACTCTTTTAGCCAAATAATTTTTTACACTTTTATGAGCTTTCATTCTTTCAATAATTTGTTCCAAGTTATTATCATTTGAATTAAGTCGTATTCCCGTCAAATTATAAATGTAACATGCAGCTTTACAATAAATCTCAACATCAGGTATCATCACAAATAATATACAATTAATCATTACAGTTTAAGATAAGTTCCACAGCTTTGGCTTGTTGGTGTAAATGAAATTCTCTTGAATAGAAAACAGTTTTAAAATTTTCTGGAAGTGCACATTTCCGAAAGCTTTTAAAAATAGATTGTATGGAATTTTCTACGATTTTCTGAGTCACTTCTAGAATTACAGATACTAAGGCGTTTGAACTTCCTGATCTTAATTTCAACAAAAACATTACCAAAGTTTGAGTTATATTTCTATTAGCAAATGGTCTTATCGATGTTAACTTACTTTAAATAAAAGTGGTGTCATCCCATGAATGGCCAGAGAAAGCTTTTATACGTTCTCCTGATATGATATGGGGCCCATTTTATAATTGAGTACAGCATCAACTCTATCTGACTGTTTCTGAATGAACTGTTTTACTTCTATAGATTCAATTTCAGATTCGTTTGTATAGACTATTATCAATGGTATCTGATTCTCATATAATCAATTTTTTATTAAGCGTCAATGGCAACATTGATTTCTTTTTGGAATAAATAACCTTCTTTTCACAAAAACTTGAAGACGACCTTCAATAGGTACGTGTATTATGTTATGTCTTTTTCCACATATAAAACAATATGCTTTAGAGAAAACTACTCTCTTAAATAGCATAGTGATAAGTTCAGTTTTATCAATTTGAGATTCGATTATCTGTAGGATAATAAGATGACTGCTTAGTCTGATTTGATGGAATAGAACTGTCAATAGGTTCTGTGACAGTTGACTTGATATTAGAGCAATTGTGTCATCTTGTTTAATTGAAATGTTAGATTTAGATTGAGATAATTCTAGTTTGTCATTACGTTGTAAATCTTTTAGAAATGTTCGTTTGGATTCTTCATCTTGTAACCAAGTACATCCAGCTTCCAGGCTCGTGCTGCTCTCGTCAACCCAACGCGTATGACACTGCACAGGCAAAGGCCTACCTTTTGGAAATTGTTTTTTTTGTTTGTGGTACCTCGGATAAGGAGAGGAGGACGACAACAGACGAGGACGTGGACGCTGGAACACAGCAGCAGCAGAAACTATTGAGAGCCTGAGTGGACGTTCAGGATGTGCCGGGTAAAAGGGCATAGCCGAGACGAAATGAGAGAGAGAGAGGACCAGGGCATAAGATACCGGGGACAAGTGTAAGAATACAGGGACCCAGAGAGAGTGAGGGAGCCAGATATAGGGAAGGAAGAGCTTGCAGAGTTACACGAGGTATTGGGTAGGGCAGAGTGAAGAGAAAGAGAGAGAGAGAGAAAATTGTAGCGTGACCAAGTGCGCGGTGACCAAGATAGGACGGGGATGGGAAGAAAGAGTACAAGAGAGCACGAGAGAGAGAGAGAGAGAGAGTACAAAGGAGGATGAGAGAGAAGAGAGTAACGTAGGGCTAGTAAGGACAAGGGATGTGTGTGTAAGGGTAGGCGTGCGGGTGTAAGTGTGAGCGAC